TTCCCCTCTGGGTCTGTTTCTTCAATTTGCAAACAGGGACGCAACATTTATCCAGCCTGCCTGAGATGCGTACTAGATTAAATAGTGTCCTCCCTAAATCTATGTCGCCCTCGGACGTGTGGATGTGACCTTATTTGGAAACAGGGTCTTTGCAGACGCACTCAGGCAGGGTTAGGTGAGATCGTCGGGCAGGAGAGCAGCCCTAAATCCAAGGCTGCCGTCCTTACGGGACGAGGGAAAGTTGCACGCGGACACACAGAGAAGGCGGCCACACGAAGACGGAGGCGGAAGCCACCGTGGCGCATGAGCACGGCGAGGCTCGCCGAGGATGGCAGCGCCGCCGCCAGCCGGAAGAGCCGCCTGGGAGCCATTCTGCCTCACGGCCTCCGGAAGGAACCCACCCTGCACTTTGTACTTCTGGCCTCCAGAACTGGGAGAGAATTCATTTCGATTGTTTTGAACCCCCCGTGTGCGGTCATGAGCTGTGGCAGCCCCAGGAAATGAACACGGAGGACAGCAGAGAAGGCCACGTGACAAGAGAGTGAACGTGACTGATCCTTGTGACGGTGGGGTCAGGGGCTGTGGTGAACAGCAACCGTGGGCCGACTTACCCAATGATAAACTTCATCATGCCTTTTTTGGCTGCCTCAATGAGGGTGGGGACCAGCTGGGGGTCCCTTGGGCCGAAAATGCCATGGGGGCGGATAGCTGTGGTGAAAAAATTCTTCTCGGGATTGTTCGCGACCAGGACCTCCTGTAGGAGAGCAGAAGGAACGCGTCCGTGGATGACACGCCACACCAGGTAAGCAGCACCTCCCACAGGGGACACAGATGCCACTCACTGCACAGGGCCGAAGACCTACATCAGCGACAAGTATAACCCTGGCTACTTCTCTACCCCACCCACGTCTCCTTGCTACCCAGACTGGAAAATGCAGGCGAGTCAGCTGGGTCAAAACCAGTTAAGACGAAACAGAAAGGCCTGGGAATGGCTTCCAGACCAAAATGCACAAGTACAGCCAGGGGAACACGAGCCTCGGTGGCAGTTAACGGAAAAGAGCCGAGGGTTCTGGTGAGTGACTGGGGTGTGAGCCTCCAACGAGGCTGCCACCACCAAAGGGGCCCTTGCCTTCAGCTCCGTGGGCCGACTGCACGTTTCCACCCATCTTGGGCTGTCCTGGTCAGCTCTGAGTACCAGCTCCCAAGAAAGGACTCTGATGAACCCATGTGGGGCAGGAAAAAGGGACTGAGGAACTAAAGGGTCTGGGAGAAACAGCGCAGCCAAAACAGGCAAAGTCCGCAGAGCGGAGCCAGTAAGCGCTCAAGAAGCGGTGGCTGGTATTGTCATCCACTGTCAGGAAGAGAAAAGTTGTGCTCTCTGTGGCTTAAAGGACAAACTAGAACTTAAGGGCTTGAAGTATAGAGGAACGAGTTTTGCCTCAGAAGTAACAAAATTCCCTGAATGATCTGTTATGTTATTGGTAAAAATGGGGACCACGACAATGCCTATCCTGAGGCGGCTGGCTGTGTGCTGATTAAATGAGATGGCCCATGCCAACTGTCTGGTAAGTATAGTTGTTATGTCATCTCACCTAGAATTTCTACTCAGTGGTGGCGAAATTTCTCTATGTGTTTGGGTCCCAGTGAGTTTAAGTTCCTTGTTGACTGGGTTTGTAACCATCAGAGCTACCCTACAATGCAGGAGTGGTCTTGCAACAGATTCCCAGAGCTGGCCCTCATCCTCCTGCCGGGCACCTGGTCCCCCATGGTAATAGGGGAAATGACTAAATAAGCCTTCGAACGTCCTCTGCCAAGGCTCACGTCTGTTACTAAAAAGAAGAGAGACGAAAGGGTCCTAGATAAATGCCACATTCCTTATCTTATATCAAGAGGTTTGAAAGCCAACAGAGCATTGTGTGCCTACAGCGGCCAACAGGATGCTCCAGTACGGGTTACTGCTGGAGGCGTTTACAGGCTTGGCTTATTTCCAGTACCCAAAGTCAATGCAAGCAGGACACAGTCTGAGCCATGCCTGCCACCCACAGCTGCTGAGCACAGAGGGTGGGAGTCCCAGGCGCCATGGATGAGAGTGCACAGGGTCCAGCGGAAGCTCCCATTCTGTGGCTCAAGTCCAGGCGGGTGGGAGCTCTGTGAGGCTCTCTGTGTTCCAAGCAGCAGGGGGGCAGACAGGACTCCAGCTTGCAAAAGGCCAAGCCTCTACGCCTGGGACTGAGGACCTCGTGTCTCCCTGTAGATGAGTTCTCCTGGGACTTTCTGAGCTGAAGTCATAGCAAACAGGCAGCTGGCTCTCAGGCAGTGCCCGGGGCTGGGGCGGAGGACACATGCCAATTAGGTGCTGAGCTCTGGTTTGATAGGTACTGGCTGTACAAGACCCCTCAGTGGGTGTGATGTGTGACAAGCACCTGGGAAAGGTCAAGTCACAGCTACCCGGCTAAGGCGAGCTGTCTGTGGCTGATGAACTTCCCTGGTCCTGAGCTGAGGCTGTCCTCAGGGTAATGTCCTCCCTGGATATTAATCCTGGAGCTACCTGCTGTCTGGGTCCCCGGAGCCCAGGAGTCCAAGGGTTTGGTGCCTATTACTCACCCAGACTGCACCTAAAACCAGGTGCTCCCAGGCAAAGCCGGTTTACCAAGTGGAAAAGTACTTTTTTCCTTAAAATCGAGGAAGATCCTTCCACTGTTTAATTTTTAAAAAGGGAGGGGGACAACACTGCCAGTGGGAAGGTGTTTCAAGACGCACTCCTTGTGTGGTGAGCCCGAGTCCTGCCTACACACTTTGGCTCATCATAAATTGTCTAATTTCCGACTTCTACGGCAACTGAGTAACCTCGCACAGTGCAAGTTTGAGTGCAGGCTCTTGAGCTAACTGCCGTGGTTCAGCCATCTGCTAGCTGCATGGCCTCAGGAAGGTTCTGCATCTCCGGGCATCAACCATCCCCATCCATAATCTAGTGACGATAATGGTGCCCACCTTATGGGGTGACTGCCAAGTTTCAATGAGGCAGTTCCTGTAAAAGACTCAGAGCAGTGTCTGGCCACATTTAAGCTATCGTGTTATGATATCTTGAACTGAATTTCACCCACGTTAGCTACTTAGGCCTCAGAATACTACCTTCACGTGTTCATAAACATTTTTCTCAAGGATCTAAGCCCTTCGGGTTTTCATGGAACTCGACTGTCCCCCACTCAACAACTTCTCGGGTACGTACTCTCTCCTGTAAGATCTTTGTTTCTGTGTAGTAGTCAATGGGTTTCATGGCATATGGAAGGTCTTCTGTGCCATTCTTGATGTCGACACCTTCGAAGATAACACTAGCACTGCTGGTTAAAATGAGTTTCTGGCAGAGGAAGAAGAAAGATTAAAAAAAAAAACCATGAGTCAGGAATGATCACTAGTGAAACGCTCACGTATGAAAGAGAATCAAATGACACCTGTTCATGACATTCGCGAGCAAGGCACCGTACAGGTTATTTACTGCAATGCCTTTGCTTTTCGAGCCTTCCTAAAATAATCCAAAGATCGCCATCTTTTGCAGCTATGCGGATCCCAAACACATTATGGTATTACATTCTAAAACGGCAGAGTTCATACATTTTCTCTCTTCTATCTCAACTGAGGCTTTAGGCTTGTATTATTCATGGTATCTCATTAGGGGAGTGATTCTCCATGGGGAAGGATAGCCCACAAACTGCAAGGGAGATGGCTGTCTGAGGAAGACCCCTGGTGATTCTGACAACCAACCCTGGCATGTCGGCACATGCACATGCACATGCACACACACGCCCACTTGACAAATACTATTCCAAAGGAAGATGCTCTCTCATGAGGGTCCCCGGCTTCCAGCCTCTGGTTAAGGGCAGCTCAACCGTCACTGAAGATCATTAACTACAATCGTATCTCTACCGCTTTTATTCAACTCGGCCCTGGAGTCCTAGCCAGAATGGTAGGATTAGACAAACAACGAGGTATAATGATTTGAAAAGAAGAAATGAAACCCTCACCATTCTCAGATATTGGAAATGTGTACAGAGAAAACACTATGAATACACAGAAAATATTAGACTTGAGCAAAGTTGCTGAGGACAAAAATTAAGCGTGCAACTGAAAACGTGATATGGAAGATATTATTTCAATAAGCAGAAATGAAGTACACAGGAATAAATTTGACAAAAGATGTGCAAAGCCATTATGAAGTATGAAACTCTATTGAAAAGCACGAAAGAGAGAGAAACAGAGATCGTATATATTTATGGATAGGAAGCCTCAACATTGGAAAGATGTCCATTCTCTCCCAAATGACCTTTAAGTTCGGCGCAACTACAATAACAACTCCAACAGGCTTTATGAATGAACTTGACAAGCGGATCCAAAAGAATGTATGGACGAGCAAAGGGCTAGGGATAAGCAAGTGAATTCTGAAGAACGCGGCTGGGGTGCCTTGTCCTACCAGACACTGAGATTCATCCTAAGGCTCGCTGGATTAAGGCAGAGTAGTGGCCCGGGCACAGACCCATGCAGGGCACCAACACCTAAGATGTGCTGGACGGGGCGCTGACACACGAGAAATGGTGCCGGACAACAAAACACGTGGTCTCTACCTCAGACCACACACAGGCTTAAATTCCTGGTGGATGAAAGGTTTAAATTTGAGAAGTAACGCTTGAAACCTCTGAGAAAAAAAAAATAAACACATTAAACAATCTTTTGACCTCAATGTTGTGAAATGTTCCCTAAATACAATGCAAAAAATCCTTTCCTGCACTGTGACCCACCGAGCGATTCTGCCACCTCACCAGGGACTATACCGGGGCTATATATATCAAGATAGATAAATCTCAAGAATGTAACATTGAAGGAAAAAAAGCAAGTTGCAGGAAGATCTATTCAACGTATCTTTTAATACAGTTTATAACATGCAAACCAATACCTAATATGGACTTCACATGGAGCGAATAAATGATAAACCCAAATGCACAGTGCTGGTTCCCCAGGGGTGGGAAAGGATGGGTATGGCATTGATGATGGGTGCACACAGGGCTTCAACTCTAGCAGAAAAAGTGTTTCTCGAACGCTGTGATGAGTGCATGGCTGCTATACTATATTATTCTCCAAGCTTTTTTTGGATGCCTGGGATGTTCCATTTAAAACCAGCAGCCGTGCGCTTCGCAGCGCCCCGCTACACAAGCATGGGAGAGTAAGGAGTCTGGGCGCCGGGACCAAAGGGTCTGATTCAAATCCCACATCTTCCATTTACTGGCAAAGAGACGGCACTTAGCCCTCCAAATCTGCTTCCTCACTCGTCAAGTGACATTAGTAGCCCCTGGTTACCTAACGAGGAGCAAGTTGGGTGACATTTGCAGGGCAAAGTTTCTTGACATTTGACAAGTGTAAAGGGGTCACTGTTACTATAACTGATCCTGCCTAGGGCCTGAGCTCAGAATTGCTGCTGTCTTGCTGGACCAGCTGAGGGTGCCGGGCTGACAGCAGAGGCACTGTTGGGAGAGAACCCCCAGGCTCGCTTCAGACCTTCCTGCTGTTTACGCAGCGTCTATGGCACATGTCACCGTGAGGGTGGGGCGCTCAGCTAACGGGGAGCTGTTCTGTCCAGTAGCTGATGCCCCGTAAAGGTGGTCCTGAGAATCAGGATTTAGAGCCATGCAACGAGCTACGACACGGTAGAAATTCGTGTCCCTTGGGTCTGCGTTACGACTGTGTTAGGACGGGTTTCTACTGGGTAAAAGTAAGTAGTTTTTCTTCGAAAATATAAGCAAAGTCTGGCGAGTAGATGAGTTTCTTAAAAGGTTACTGTATGATCCAGGAATTCCACCTCTGGGTATTTACCCCAAAGAAGTGATAACAGAGACAGGAATAGAGATTTGCACACCTCTATTCACAGCAGCGTGATGCACAACACTCGAAAGGGGAAAACGACCCAAGTGTCCATTGACGGATGAACGGAGAAACAAAACGTGGTCTATCCATACAAGGAAATGTTATTCAGCCTTAAAAAAGGAGGAGATTCTGACACATGCTATAAAATAGATGAACCTTGAAGACAGGCTAAGTGAAGTCAGCCAGTCACAAAAGGACAAATAGTGTGTGATTCCACTTATACGAGGTCCCTAGAGTGATCAAATTCAGAGACAGAGAGCAGAAGAGTGGGTGCCAGGGGTACAGGGAGGAGGGATGTGGAACTGTTTAATGGAGATAGATTTCAATTTGGAAAGACGAAGAGTTCTGGAGATGGATGGTGGGGAGGGGTGCACGGCACTGTGGGTGTACTTAATGCTGCTTAAAAATGGTTAAAATGCTTACTGTTATGTTTATATGTATATTATCACGATAAAAATATAAGCAATATCTATATTTTGTAGCTCTTTAACCAAAGACTAATAAGCCTTAGGGTCTATTCTGATGCAGTTGGAATGTTACAGCTCAGATTGGCCCAGCTGTTCTGGGACTGAATTTCTAGGATGTTCCTGACACTTCTGGAAACAAGCCTGGCTAGGTTAGGAAGAGAGCAAGAACCTTGGCCCCCACATATTTAGAAATGTGTGACAGCACTCACTCCGGCTCTCCCCTTACCTGAACCCCAGCCTGTTTGCAAGTCTCGATGACATTCTTGGTGCCAATGTAATTGACTGTGTAAAAGAGTTCCTTGTTGTTACTTGATGGGGAGGGTGATGCACAGTGGAAAACTGTACTCACACCTTTCACAGCTGGGTACAAGTCCTGGAAAAGCAAACAAAGGCAAAATAAATCAGTCCTTCCGTGCACGAGTCAATAACCTCCTCGCATGCCCACGCTCCAATCTGTGGCATACACGTGTCTTGCCCTTTTATAATCCCACAATTAACAGGGAAATACATTCTCATTGTAAAATATGTATCATTCGAGGTATATGGGAAAGAAATCATGTCGTCACTTTAATTGTCTCCTCCCCATGAACTGGTCCCCAAGAAAAACTCGTCTGGGGCCTGAAAACCGTGTGGGATCCAGGCAGAGGCAATATGGCAACATCTGATAAAATTCAGAATGTGCATACCCTTATGACACGGGTAAAGCTTGAAAACATTATGTTCAGTGAAAGAGGCTAGTCATAAAAAGACAGACACTGTATGATCACGCTTCCATGAAATGGCCAGAACAGGCACACCCACAGAGACAGGAGATGAGTGGGTGCCAGGGGCTGGGAAGGTAGGAGAGAAAATGGGGAGCCACTGCTAATGGGCCCGGGGTTCTCTTTTGGCGGAGGCGGGGGGTGTTCTGGAATTAGATATGGTGATGGTTGCATAACTTTGTGATTATACTAATGACCACTGAACTGTGCGCTTTTAAATTTTGAATTTATGGAATGTGAATTCGATCAAAAAAAAAAGAAAATAAAACAAACCCAGCAATTGCACTTTGGGGCATATACTCTGGAGTAGCAGTTGGCACGCTACAGCCTACGGACAACTTTGTTTGTGAATAAAGTTTTATTGGCACACGGCCACACCCATTTGCTTACATACTTACCAGGCTGCCTTTGCCCGACCTAGGCAGAGTGAAGTAGTAGTGACAGAAGTGACAGTTATTCATTCTGAGTGGTAAGAATCTGGGTGTGTGTTAAATTCTTTCTAATTTAAGTGGTAAGAATCTGGGTGTGTGTTAAATTCTTTCTAATTTAAAAATAATTATTTTGAAAACAACAGTTTGGTTGGCCTCTGAGCAGGGGAGGTCTGCTGGCTTCCCCTCGGGGACCTGGGGAAATCAGTAAGGCTGGGTGGTCCGTTACCTGTTGGTTGCAGAGGTCGCCCATAAAGAACTTCACCTGGGGATTGTCGAACCCCTGTCGCATATCAAATACATTGACAGCATAGCCTCTTGCCAGCAACTGTTCCACCATGTGCTGTCCCAGAAACCCAGAGCCTCCGATCACCGTGCACCTCTTGGCCTGCAGAGAGAGAGGGATGGCAGGGGGACACCGGTATGCTAACCGGAACCTATAAAGAGACTGGACTCACGTGTCAGGAGCCACTGCAATGGCAGGTCCATCTCTCTCTGTTTTTTATTTGTTTGTTTGTAACTCTTCTTGGGCCAATTCGGAAGCTTTGTATAATTTTGGTGTTCTATCGCCAGTGGCAATCTCCTCTCTTGGGATCGGTCAGGAGGGAAGAGAGAGAGTAAATGAGACCGAGGAAGACTTTGGCTACACTGGATGACCCGATACCTGCTGTGCGTTCAGTGAAAGGAAGAGGAGGCGTCTCGGAAAGAAATTAAACCACCTATGATCAAAATCGGACAATCTAAAAGAAAGACAAAAACGAAAGTGGTATCTTCTTGCTTCCGATGGCTGATCCCTGGGCACTTAGAAGGCAAACCAAACAAAAAAAAACAAAAACGAGATCACACCACCCGTGCAACTGACAGCGTGCACTGAAAACATCAGAAAGAAAGCACGGTTTCCATACTTGCGGGAGACAGTCAGGCCCTTTCCCTCCCCGACCCTGCGCGGCTGGGCTGGGTGGTTTCGGGCTCGCCGCCTAACCCCTTCTCGCCTTCCTATAGCCTGTAGTGGTGGACGGGCTCTGCTGAGGATGGGTGAGCTGCTAGTCAGCCAGGCAGGCCCAGGGCTTTGCTTCCCTTCTCCGAGCTGAGTCGGTGGACGAATCCGGGAGAACTCAGCTTCCGCACCGTGTGCACTTCCTCGACCACAGCAGACTCCAGGAGGCCCGTCTGAGCCTTGAGACGCTAACCCTTAGGAGGCCTGGCTACTGCCCTTGTTGCCCCTGGGGAAGGCTTCTGCCATTCCACCCGGAAGCCCAGTCTAGCCTGCTGGGACCGAGCGAAGGCAAACTGAGGCACTCAGCTGACGGCCAGCAGTTACTGCTGGGTGTGTGAGGCCACCTGGAACATATACCTCAGGGGGTCCCCATGACTGTGGCTGTGGGAACGAGCGCAGGTGTGACCAGCCACGGACCCCCTCAGTGGGGCTCAGCCCAAACCACAGAATCATGAACAAAGGAATGGGTGTTGTTGTAAACCACTATGTTCTGAGATTGTTGCACAGCAAAAAGTAGCTGATACACCTTGAATAAAGATATGTATCTTATATAAAAAATAATACTCAACATTAATTGGTTTAATAAATGGACCAAAGATAATTTTTAGCCCACAGCTAACTATCAGTGGCTTGCTGGTGCGTATGTGCTTGCCTTTCCCCTTACTTGGTTCTGGCTGACTTTTTTGGTGTCAATACTCACTTCCGGAATGTCTTCTGTCGAAAGTGTACTTGTGACCAAGTCTGCCGTTGGTTTGTCAACTTGTTCCATTTCAGCTTCAAATACGGTCTTGCCTGTGAAGTCCTTCTTCCCTGAAGACATATCTAGAGACAGACAGACATGTTATATAAACCAAAACATGTGTTAGCTGTCAGTGTCTGTGCGGGTGCCAACCCCCTGTCGAGTTTTCACAAAGAGGTGAACCTCGGCTGTAGCTGTTAGGTGGAGCCCTCGGCCACATTTTCTGTGACGTAGGCTGCCATAACGGAGCCCTAACTCTCCGTATACTTGGATTAGAAGCAGAACAGGAGGCCACTTAAATAACCTCATTCATCGGTTACAACAAAAACCCATCTCGGGCATGGTGGCTTTTCCCATGGCACTCACGTGCTTCAGTTACTCTGTTTCTCTCGTATTGATCATTAGACTGCAGCAGTGCAATGGGAAAATGCACAGACCTAGGGAGCCCTGGGCTCCAGTCCTGGTCCGATCACAAATCTGCCCAAGTCACGTCTCTTTGCTGCAGCTCAGTTTCCCCATCAATAAAATGGACTTGGCACTCATCAGCGAGATGCTGCGGCCCGGGATGCTGGGAGGGGCCGGAGTGTGATAGGAGATGGCACTCTCCTTCTGAGCGAAATTAAGGCCCCCCCTTACTATGCACAGAAGAACCCTATGTCTGGGGCCATCGGAAACCTTGGGAGACAGCAGTGGAGCCCACCAGCTGGCAGTCCCTCCGTGATACCAAACAGAAGACGACTTTATCATGGATCCACGAACATCACGACAAGGAAAATTGCTCACAAAAGGCTAGTTTGAGAGAAGACTGGTTTATAATCCCCCCGCACACGACTGTCTTGGTCCACTAGGCTGTGAGCCCCTGAAGTTCCAGCAAAGAGCCTGGAACGGAGTGCGAGTTGAACGGCGCGGCTGTGGCTGGTGGAAGAGGCCTCATCTGCAGAGCGGCAATCTTTCCTGCCGACCTCAGAGCTGCTATGGGGCCTGGACGAGCCTCGCGGGGAAAGGGGAGCTGTGGCTTGTAACAGAGCACGTGGTGTCAGCTTGCTCATGCCTGCAAGCCCTCATTCTCCAGGCCACTGCCAAGCAGAACCTGCATAAGACGGGGAGCCCACCGTCTAGCATGGGATGCGGACCCCGCAGATCACTGTACAAGTGCCTCTGAGCTCTGCTGACGGTAAACCCAGAGCAGAGAGCCTGGCCAGAGGGAGATCCCTGAGCTGAGCCCTCAACGCCCTGGGGGAGGGAGTCAAGCGGAGAGGGTGGGCGTCCTGAAAAACACTGCATTGCTTGGGGTGAGAAGGACAAGGTGATGGCACAGAGCCAGCATGTTCTGGAGACTATGGCAAGCTGTGTCAGGGCGAGTGTGAAGCAACATTGGAAGCGAAGTTGACAACATGCAGGGGCTGTTTGTCAGGCTAAGGAGTTACCTGAGGAGGAGATGCGGGAGCCCCTGGAAGCTGTAAGCAGGCGCAAGTGCTGAGATCAGAAAGATGACTCCGGCTGCAGCGTGGAGAAGGGATCTGTGCCAAGTCTTAGGCTCCAAGCATGCCAGGTAGGTGTAATGGCAAGAGCAAATCAGAGAACTAATATTGCCTGAAAACCTGCTAAATGCCAGGCCCTTTTACATAGATTATACCATTAAGATCCAAAAACATCCAGTTAGAAAGACAGTACTGGTCTTATTCGACAGATGAAAAACTGAGGCTCAGAGAGGTCAAGCGACTTGCCCAAAGTCACACAGCCGGCACACAGCTAAAGCAGAACTTGGAGTTGTTCCGTCTCCTCTGCCATGCTGCAACCTGCGGACTGACTGGGAAGCCGGGTATGGATGAACACAAAGTTAGAAGGACTAGCAGGGGCAAACCTGGGCGGGAGGCTCAGATGCCAGGCTGTCTGGACTTTATAGTCATGGGAAACTACTGAAGGTTTAAAAGCATGGGGGTGACCTGGCCAGAGCTGTTCACTGGGAAGGTTAACGTGGCGGAGCACGGTGGACTAGAGAGGCGAGAGGCTGGAAACAGGGGGACCACTCCCAGTCTTTCAACCAAAGTTTACTGAGCACCTAATATGTGCCTCTCACTTGTTGCATGTGCTGGAGTGCTAGCAGTGAACAAAACAAAGATGCCTGCCCTCATAGAGCTTACTTTCTACTGGATGGGCAATAAAGAACAAAATAAGTAAGTAAAATATACCATAGGTTAGAAGGTGATACTATGGGAAAAAAGTAGAGCTAGGTGTGGGGCTTGGGTGTGCTGGGAGATGCAGTGCTAGACGGGGTGCTTAGGGTGGCTCAGTGAGAAGGTGATAGTGAAGCAAAGACCTGGATGGGAGAACCAAGTGGACCACGCAGGCAGAAGGAACAGCTGGAGCCAAAGTTCTAAGTTTGGAGTGCACCTGCGCATTCCACGCCCAGCCAGGAAGCCCGTGTCCCAGGGCTGGCGGTCCCAGGGCACGGGAGGGAGCATGTCACGCCAGGCCTCGCAGACCAACGTGAGAACTTGGTCTTGGATTAGTGGAGAGGCAGAGGTGGAAAAGAAGAAAAGAAATGGCATTGAAGGGGGAGAGCTCATAGAACTTGGAGGCTGATTAACGGGGAGGGGACAGAAAAGCAATCAAATATGACCACAAGGTTTTGGACCTGGTTCATGCTCAAAGGGGCAGAGGGCAAAGGGCAGAAGGTCGGTGAACACTTTTATTTGAGGAATGCTAATAGACCGCAGGCTTTTGTCAGCCTGAGAAACTCATGCTCTGTCCCCTGCCTCCCGAAATACTGCCTCAGTGCCCAGAGGGGAAGCAAGTGAAGGCTGAGATCCACAGAGTGCTGTTACACGGCGCCCGCCGAGGAGGGCGGATCCTGGACCTCCAGCGCCACCGCTGCATTGTTGCGGCACAAACGCCCGTACACGCCCCCTTGTGATTCTCCAAGCATGTCTCGCACTCCCCAAACTCCTCCGCGACTTTGGCTCATGACGGTATCTCGGCCCCGAACGCTCCTCCGTATCCACCTTTGAGTGTTTGGATGTCAAAAAGAGGGTATTGTGATGACCTCTCCCCCTCACGCTCGCTCATGTCTCCTTCACTCCCTTCGAAGTCCGTTCCCAGGCCCCTCGGCTCACCTTCCTGGGCTGCTTTTCGTCAGGAGAGACCTCAAATGATCCTCTCTTGGAACCTGGTCTGGAGGGTTGCTCTTAAAGTACACCCTCAAAGAAAGAGCCTCAGCTGCTTCGGCTTCTAAGTCCCCGCCCTCCGAACAAGAGCCTCAGCTGCTTCGGCTTCTAAGTCCCCGCCTGTGCGACAATGCTCGGCATGTCCCTTCCCTTCTCTGGGTTTCAGTTGTCCCGTGAGTGGTCTCCACTCCAATACGTAAAGTTACGGTATTCTGACCCTTCTGAGGCACTCCGATCCTAATTCTGTCTTAACCCCCAGCGGAAAGCCCTGACTCGGACCGCCCCACCCACTCCTCGCCCTCCCGCCCTGTCGCCGACCCCAGGCGGCTTCCATGGGCGAGGCCGCGACCCTTACTTGTCTGTAGATGTCCCCCTGGCCGACCTCAGCGAACCCGTAGTCAGCACCCACCGCTCCGGCTGCCGACGGCTACCCTTTTCTTTCCGCCCGCGTGAGTCGAGGATCAGCCGAGGCTCCTCCACCACCCCGACTGGCTCGGCTCCGCGCCGGCTCAGCCAATCTGAGCTCACGGCTTGACGCAAACAATGAGGCCAGGGCTCAGCCGCCTGCGCACTACTTCCGGCCCGGGGCCGGGCCTCTGTCGGGTTGGCCCCGCCCACTCCAGCCCTGAGCCAATGGAGAGCGGCGGCGCCAAGCGGCTAACCAATGGGGAACGGGGCGACGCGCGCGGGTTGGTGGGAAGTGCGCCGAGTCAGTGTATACGTCGGTTACCTTAACAACGGGCAGAGGAGTCTGTCGGCGATGGTGAGTGCCGGCTACCCTGTAGCACCCCTTACCCAAACGTTGAGCCCCTCCCAGGCCTCGGCCAACCCCGCCATCTCTCTTGTACCATTCATGGCTTCCGCGCGCCCCTCCTTCCTCTGATAGCTTTTCCGGAAGGGCAGGGAAGAGATGCCAGCCACCGTGCTGGGCCTGTGATTCGCCGCCGCCTCCCCTTCACTCGCAGCCCGCCCCCACCGGCCCCTCGGGTTCTCCTGGTCTTCCCCAGCCCCCTCGGTGACCTGTTCCTGGGAGAAGACGCGGGTTCCCTGCAAATCCCGACCCCTCTCCGACGCTGGCCTCCTGGCCGCCTTGCTCTACCAAAGTTTCTGCACAGTGCTGGGGGGAGGTTTATGACGTTTGATTGTTGACGTGCATTTTAAAGTTTAAATATAGGGAGGGCCATTTGGGAGACACTGAGGTTCTCGGGGAAAGCACAGATGTGCCAAGTGGATTGAGTTTTATTATTCGATATTGACAGAATGTACATCTTAACAACTTAGTAATATTTGGCCAAATCTAGAAGTAATTAGAAAGTCAGAGCACTTAGAGGGAAACAGAGTACCACGAGTGGGCGTTATAAGGACATTTCTAGAATTAAGACCCTCAAATTCCGGGAGAGCTTATTATCTGTACAGTTATCTATACTCCACTCCTTGGCTAGCTAGCGCTCTTTCTGATGGTTTTCAAAAATAGGGGTCCAAAAGAACAAGGGATCTTCTTGCATCGAGAAACAATAGTAAAGAACAAGGAGGGAGGGACAGAGGTGCATGGAAAGATCCATTGTTCTTCCCAGTAATCCCTTTTACCTCCCCAGTTAATCAAAACTTTGGGATTGGTTGGTATAAACTATTTTAAAAACAGATATGCTTGTCTCTATTTTATGTAAAGTGTGGACTGTAGTACATAATACTGTGCTTATGTGTTTGTTAAATGTCTAAAGGCCTCTAACTTTAAGAAGGCAAACATGGCATCAACTTCCCAGCGCAAAAGGATGAGTCCTAAGCCGGAGCTCACTGAGGCTCAGACACAGGAAATCCGGGAAGCTTTCGATCTCTTCGATGCCGATGGAACTGGAACTATAGATGTTAAGGAACTTAAGGCAAGCCTTGTCCATTCCTGC